AAGAAACATAATTGGGCATGGGAGGAGCTGCCCCCAACAGACCCCAGAAGAAGAGAAAGAAAAGCTGCATTAAGCCTAGCCATCTCAAAATCTAGGGTGCCCATAAAATCCTTGCCCTGCTTGAAATTGGTTTCCTGATAGAAAGTGAAATAGGCATAGATGGGTGCAGTGGCTCACACCTGTAATCCCAGCACTTTGGGAGCCTGAGGTGGGTGGATCCCCGAGGTCAGGAGTTCCAGATCAGCCTGGCCAACATGGTGAAACCTTGTTTCTATTAAAAATACAAAAATTAACTGGACATGGTGGCACATGTCTTTAATCCCAGCTACTCAGGAGGCTGAGGCACGAGACTCACTTAAACCCAGGAGGCGGAGATGGCAGTGAGCTGAGATTGCACAATTGCATTCCAGCCTGGGCGACAGAGCGACACTGTGTCTCAAAAAAAAAGTGAAATAAACATCATTGTATACATTTTTCTATATACAAATATAGAAAAGAAAATAGATTTAAAAGGCAAAGGCCATTCATAATTATGCCACCCAGAGACAGGTGGGCACTGTGAGAGTTTCTTTCAGTCTGTCCTCACCATGCCCAAGCACACTTGAATTATGCTGTTTATATACTTCCGTACCCTCTCTTTTTTGCCTAACAGGTCTCGAGTGCTTTATAAGCATTCAATATAAATATGACTTTATTTCCTTAGTATGGGAGTCTGTGTTTTTTCCCAGTATTTCTCTTACCTCAGATATCATTGGTTCAGTCTTGGAAGGCACTTTGGAATATTTTTTCTGGGCTTCATTCCTAGAAGCAGAAACATGTTCACTTTGAATGTTTGACTCTCATAAATGTCAGGTATGGTGAGATGTGGTTTTATGGTCTTCACACAGACGACATACACCAGAATTCTCTTAACAATATTTGCTCTTCTGAGAAGGAAATTTTGCTGCTCAAATCTCACCTTCAAATAGATTACTAGGAGCTGGGCATGGTGGTATGTGCCTGGGAGGCTGAGGTGGGAGGATTGCTTGAGACCAGGAGTTTGAGGCTGCAGCGAGCTATGATCACGCCACTGCGCTCCGGATTGGGCCACAGAGCAAGATCCTATCACACACATACACAGGCGAAATAGCTTACCTGCAGCTTAGCCACTCCTTTTTCCTTACATATAGTACTTGCTCATGTGCCGGAGCTCACCGTTCAGCCTGCACCATCCCAGGCTAGGGGTTAAGATCAAGAGCTTTATTCCATCTGCCTGGATTTGAGTCATGGCTCTGCCATTACTCTGTGTGACCTTGAGCAAGGCACGTTCTCCCTCTGAGCTCCAGTTTCCTCGTATCTGAAGGCAGCTTCAAGGATTATATGAGCTGATAAATGCAAAGCACTTAGCACAGGGTCTGGCGTTGACCACAGGCTCAGGAAATGTTAAACGTTTGTGTTGTGAGGCTTTGCAGGTGACGAAACTATTCAACTCTGCCGCCGCAACATGAAAGCAGCCATAGATGATACGTGTACACCAATGAGCGTGGCTGTGTCCCAAGAAAACTTTATCTATGGAAACGGAATCTAGGATTTCACAGTTTTCACAAAACATTTTCCAACCACTTAAAAATGTAACCGCCATGCTTAGCTCACAAGCTGCACAAAACCACAAGGCACGCTGGATGTGACAGACAGCTTGGAACTCACCTCCACTAATCAGAGAGTGACCTCCAGGCAGACTTGGTTCTGTGTGGAGTTTCTCAGTCCCCTGTCCCTGAAGGCTGGCTATTTTCAAACCTGCTGGAGAAGAGTGAGGAGGCTGGGTTCTAGGTGTCTCACTTCCCCTCTTGGGGCCTCATTTCCCTTTCTGTGCGGGCGGGGTGAGCTTTTGGCTCTTTCCAGCTGCAGCTTCCTAAGGTAGCTGAGACTCTGTCATGGCTAGCACATGCTGGGTCTCTGGTTTTCATTTTAAAACAACCTGTGTGCAGGCTGGGCGCGGTGGCTCATGTCTGTAATCCCAGCACTTTGGGAGGCCGAGGCGTGTGCATCACGAGATCAAGAGATCCAGACCATCCTGGCCAACATGGTGAAACCCCATCTCTATTAAAAATACAAAAAAATTAGCCCAGTGTGGTGGCGCATGCCTGTAGTCCCAGCCACTCAGGAGGCTGAGGCAGGAGAGTCACTTGAACCCAGGAGGCGGAGGTTGCAGTGAGCCAAGATCACGCCATTTTACTCCAGCCTGGATGACAGAGTGAGACTCCGTCTCAAAAACAAAAGAAACAAAAACAGAACAACAAAAAACCCTGTGTATAAGGCAAGATATGAATATCCTTCTGTGCATGTCCTGAGACCCTGCCTGGCACAAAGTCACAGGGCAGACCCTGGGAGTCCCCTATTCCCTCCCTTCCCTAAGTGTCTGGGTGTTCTCAGGCCTCCCAGCCTTTGCCTCTGCTGTGCTCTCTGCCCGGGATGCCCACCCGGCTTGTCACCTCAAGTGCCACTTCTCCTTGGAAGATCCTCTTTTAACCTCCCTCCCCCACTCAGGATGGAAGGAGAGGCCCCTCCCTTGCTCACCACAGGACAGCACTGACTGCGCTGTGTCACTGTGGCATAATGTTCTGTTGACTTTGCTCACTGGCCTCCCCAGTGAATGAAGGGCTGCCGGAGGGCCACAGCCTAGAATTGCCGGCCTTTGGACCTCAGGGCTTGCAGTCTGGAGCGCCAGAGTTGGTCAAATGAACAAATTGAGGATGAAGAAATAAGGCAAGCAGGGCTTGACCTTGCGGAAGCTGTAGTCTAGCTCCCTAGAGAGGCTCTTGGCTGCAGCTGAAAGGGTCCGTGCTGTGGATGTAGAGAGAGTTTGAGTCCCGAAAGAAGAAATGCACTATATTTTTTACAAACCCCTTGAAGGTCTGTGCTTTGTTCTCTGCTTCCCAACCACCTTCCACCCCTCCCATCCCCCGCCAATCTTGGGCAAGACCATTCTCCCCTTTCTCTAGTCACTCCTGTCCTTCAGAGGGCCCCCTCTGGCCCCCACTATCCATTGTCACTGGAGTAATGCTGTGGCCTTTCTCGGTTTGGGCCCCACCCCCAACCGAAGAACGTCTCCCCAGAAAGTTTCCACTTGGTTCTTGGTGTTTTCACAGTTACAGGAATCCAAGAGCAATGTCAGACCCAGGAGGTACCTGTCTCACTCCCCACCCTGGCTTGATCAATGTTGTCACCAAAGCTGTCACAAACAAGGGGGTGTGGGCTGTCACGTGGCCCTGCCTGAGTAACCACATTCTCGCTTCCTTCTTCCACACACGGCCATTGGGGGTTGCTCGGGTCCCGGACTGCTGCAAGGGGTGCCACAGCAGTGCCCGACAGCGTGGGCTGAGGCCTCGTCACTAAAGCAGAGAAGCCACTTTTTCTGGGCCCACGAGGCAGCTGTCCCATGCTCTGCTGAGCACCGTGGTAAGTGTTGGCTTGCAAAACCACAGGGAGTGGCTGGAGGTCCCCATGGGCCAGGGGCCTGTCTCATAGCTGCTGGCAGGCCCGGGCAGGACCTCCAGGCCCTTCCTGAACTGCAGCCCCTGGGGAGGGTGAACTGAGGCTCCTCCGGTTCAAGACTAAGTCTTCCTGGAGTCTGTGGCCTCATTCTGGTGTCTCTTCTGAATTCTGCTCCTGCTTTTCTTTTCTTTTTAAGACAAGGTCTTACTCTGCCAGCCAGGTTGGAATGCAGTGGTACGATCACGGATCAAGGCTGGAGTGCGGTGGTATGATCACGGATCACTGCAGCCTCAAACTCCTAGGCACAGGATCCTCCCACCTCAGCCTCCCGAGTAGGTGGGACTACAGACACATACTGCCTCATGCAACTACTATTTTTACTTTTCCTAGAGATGGGGTCTCACTTGGATGCCCAGGCTAGTCTCAAACTCCTGGCCTCAAGCCTTTTGCCTCAGCCTCCCAAAGCGCTGAAATGACGGGCTTGACCCACCTCCCCCAGCCTCTTGTTAACTTACTTCCCAGCCACTTTGCCTGCAGCTTCCGGCTTGGGGGCATTCTGAAAATCAGAGAAACCACGGGTGTTTCTCTAGAAATTATCCTACCCTCTCCTTTCCTGCATGGGAAACTGAGGCCTGGAGAGGTGAGAGGATTTGTTTGGGGGCAGAGCTGAGATTAGGTCTGGAAGATTCCAGAAAGTAGAGGGAGTGCAGGATTTGTCTTGAAGCTGCACATGTTAGGACGGGCACGGTGGCTCACACCTGTAATCCCAGCACTTTGGGAGGCCGAAGTGGGCAGATCACAAGTTAAGGAGATCAAGACCATCCTGGTTACATGGTGAAACCCTGCCTCTAAAAAAAAAAGCAAAAAAAAAAGCTACATATAATGGACACATAAAAAGGTTGTTTTCAGAGAAAGATGCATTCTTCCCACTTTTTATAAGACTGAGAAAATGACATTTGTCTGTGGCAAACTATGAAAATATTAGAATTAGGATACTATTGTTAGCAAAATGGAAAAAAATAATATTAATTAGAATACTTGGCCGGGTGTGGTGGCTCACGTCTGCAATCCCAGCACTTTGGGAGGCTGAGGCAGGTGGATCGCCTGAGCTCAGGAGTTCAAGACCAACCTGGGCAACATGGTGAAACTCCAGATCTACCAAAAATATAAAAAATTAGCCAGGGGTAATGGTGTGTGCCTGTGGTCTCAGCTACTTGGTAGGCAGAGGTGGGAGGATCACTCGAGCCTGGGAGGGGAGGTTGCAGTAAGCTGCGATCATGCCACTGCACTCCAACCTGGGTGGCAGAGTGAGACCCTAATTCAAAAAAAAAAAAAATTAGACTACTCTTATTAGTTTGTATTTGAGATGCTTTCAGGACACTAAAAGGAAACGGTGGGGGCCAGTTGTGCCCCGCTGCACACACATTCACACACTCCCCCCCCATTATCTACATCCGGGCTTCTGCTGCCTGGAATTCTCTTCCCTTTCCTCTTTCTTCTGTTTTCCTTTTTTTTCCCCGTCTCAGACTTTTAGGGCCCCAGAATGAGCCAGGGCTTCAGTGAGCCAGGGCTTCAGAAGGTGGCTCCCAGGCCCTCGGACGACCCCAGAGTCGCTTCCTCTGGGGTTGCCCGGGGAGGCCGCGCCCTGGGTGATTGATGCCTCCCTCAACATCCTTGGCCAGCAGCCAGGGGAGTTGAATCTCAGATGGCGGAAGGGCTGGGCCCCGAGCAGAGCATTCAGAAGAGCTGGGGAATCAATCATCTGAGAACCTTGGAGAGTGGACAGTGCCCCTTTTACAGATGAGAACACTGAGGCTAGAAGGGGAGAAGCGGCTGCCTTTGGCAGTGTGATTATGGCTGCAGGACGCTCATGGAGTTCGTGGTGGTGACCCCAGGCCTGTGTCTTGATCTCCTTTGCTGAGCTTGAACAGGAAGACGGTAGTGGGGGCCAGTAGTCTACAAGATGAGATGGCAGGTGTGTGTGTGGGGGGGGGTCTGTGGTTGTTGATCTGTCTGTCTACACGGGGGTCTCTAGAAAACGGTTTAAAGACAGTTGTTCAACTAAAGCCAGATATAGGTCTCATTGAATTCATTTGTGCCAAGCAAGTGCCTTACCTCTGCTTTATCAGGCCAGCTAATTTGGTTCTTGGCAGAGTTGGGGCGGGGGCGGGTAACGCAAAAAAATCTCAACTAACACTGAACTGCCAAACATGAAACAGATATCCAGCATATCTGTGCTATTAACATTTCGTGAGGGCTGGGTGCGGTGGCTCACACCTGTAATCCCAGCACTTTGGGAGGCCAAGGCTGGCAGATCACGAGGTCAGGAGATCGAGACCATCTGGGCTAACATGGTGAAACCCATCTCTACTAAAAATACAAAAAATTAGCTGGGCTTGGTGGCATGCACCTGTAGTCCCAGCTACTCGGGAGGCTGAGGCAGGAGAATCACTTGAACCTGGGAAGTGAAGGTTACAGTGAGCCAAGATGGTGCCACTGCACTCCAGCCTGGGTGACAGAGTGAGACTTTGTCTCAAAAAAAAAAAAAAAAAAAATTTGTGAGGAGGGCTGGGCAGGGTGACTCATACATTTTTGGAGACCGAAGCAGGAGTTTGAGACCAACCTGGGCAACATGGAGAAAACCCAACTCTACAAAAATTTAAAAATAGCCGGGTCTGGTGGCACGCACCTGTAGTCTTCGCTACTTGGGAGTTCAAGTCTTCAGTGAGCTGTGATTGCACCACTGTACTCCAGCCTGGGCAGCAGAGCAAGACCTTATCTCTAAAAGTAAATAAATAAATAAGTAAACATTTCATGAGAGGGATAAGTAGGGAAAAAATGTCTACAGAGGCTCCCTGATGTGAGCTGGGGTAGATGATGGAAAGAGGTTGGAAAGCGTCAGCTGGCAAAAGTCGTGTGAAAAGTGTGAAGGCAGCATGTGCTGTGCAGTTCTGGGCACGGTCCCCTGCCTCAGTCACAAGACCTCTTCTGCAGAGGCATTTAGTGAGGCCTCTGGGGCTGCCAGGAGACCCAGGAGAGTTCCTGCCCTCCAAAACCTTGCTGTCTGGTGGGAGCAGCAGAGCAGGCAGCCTCGGCGGCTGTGAGCCACTGGGACAAGCATTGAGAGAGGTGTGTGCCTGCCCATTGGCCAAATCCCGGCTCTGTGGCCCGATCAGCAAGATAGCTGTGCTTCCTGCCCTCTGGAAGTTTAGGGGCCAATGTGAATACATTTTTAGAAAGTAAATGAATAGTTAAAATGGTTAAAGACCGGAGATGACTCATCATGCCTGGGGTAATCCGGAAAGGCTTCCAGGAGGACGGGGCATTCTCCTGGCCCTCTTCAACCCACAACAACCCCATGAAAAGCAGGTGCTACCATTGTCCTTGTAGTCCAGCGAAGGAACCCACAGCTCAGAGAGGTGAGGTGAGTTGCCCAAGGTCACACAGCTTGTTAGGGACGGAGTTGGGATTGACTTGGTTTGATGTGGCTCCCAGGGCAGGTCCTGTCCTGTCTACCTGGACTTAGATTTGCTCTGGGACCTGGGAGACACCTCCACCTCGGTTATTGGGGGCCTTTCCTTCTATTGATGACTGCTTGACCCAAACCCTGAGATGCTCAGTCTTTTGAATTTTAACATTCCAAGATCCTGCCTGCTGTGACCTGCCGTTTCAGGATTCTCAGTGCGAGGTTCTCAGCGGCTTGGAGCCCCACGGGTATCTTTCCTGAGCAGCTCAGGGCAGCCACACGGCGGGGTCTCTGGAGTGGGAGTCTGGGCCCCTGTAGCCTGCTCCTCCATAGACTGGATGGGGCCACATGGGGTCCAGATGGGGCCTGGGGCAGAAGCAGCCTGGTTTTAGGGTGAAAGCTGCAAAATGAGCAGTCTCTGACCTACTCCGCTAGGCAAGCATTGAGACAAATAGGATACGGCCACCGGAGACCCCTGCCCTGGCCCCACTCTGTGGGACTGTTTTTCTGCCTTCCAGGGAGAGGAGAGGTGGAAGATGGGGCCTGGATGTGACCCCCTGACTCTGGGCTTTGCTTGCTCATCTGTGTGATGGGCACCCTTAGAGCCAGTGAACACGGGGGTGAGGAGGAATGAGGTCGCCAGGCAGCAAGAGGATGAAATCGTCCCTCCAAGGCAGGGGCTTTGGCATCCGGCATTTTCGTTGTTGTGTAATAATTTACTATAGCAAATATAAAGGCAGTATTATGCTACCTGCCATACATAGTGAGAAAACTCAACTCCTTCACACTCTACCTGTGTGGCTCAGCTGAGACAAGATCTCTCAGAGCCTGGGGTTTTCTTTTCTTTCATTAAAAAAAAAAATACTGGACACGGTGGCTCAAGTCTGTAATCCCAGCACTTTGGGAGGCCAAGGTGGGCGTATCACTTGAGGTCAGGAGTTTGAGACCAGCCTGACCCCATCTCTACTAAAAATACAAAATTAGCCAGATGTGGTAGCACATGCCTGTAATTCCAGCTACTTGGGAGGCTGAGGCAGGAGAATCGCTTAAACCTGGGAGGTGGAGGTTGTGGTGAGCCAAGATTGCTCCATTGCACCCTAGCCTGGGAAACAAGAGCGAAACTCCTCAAAAAAAAAAAAAAGTTTTTATTTCTTAAAGACAAGTCTTGCTCTGTCACCAGGCTGCAGTGCAGTGGTGCCATCATAGCTCACTGCAGCCTCGACCTGGGCTCAAAGCCATCCTCTGGCCTCAGCTTCTCGAGTAGCTGGGATTAGTCATGCACCAGCACACCTGGCTAATTTTTAAATTTTTTATAGAGACAGGGATCTCTCACTATGTTGCCTGGGCTGGTCTTGAACCCCTGGCTTCAAGTCATGCTCCCGCCTCAGCCTCCCAAAGTGCTAGGAGTACCAGCTGGAGGCACCGTGCCTGGCTGAGCCTCAGATTTTCTTCCTGTCAGATGGGCTGATGCCTGGCTCCAGGCTGCTGTGTCTTAAAGCCCATGGAATGGCAGGGACCAGGCTGGGGTGACCAACACATCCCCACCCCCAGTTTGCCTAGGAGTGAGGGGTTTTTGGGGATGAGGGACTCTTAGTACTGACACCAGGAACATGTGGGATAAGGTGGCTGCTTTAGACGGGCCTGGGAAAGGAGATGTGTGGTTTCCCAGCACACCAGGTCTTATCACAACTGGTACTGAGCTCTCTGCTTTCTCAAAGCCCGAATGCCCACGGGGAAGGTAGGGAGGTCGCCATCTCCACACCCTCTGAGTCTGAGCCCTCCCTTTCCTCTGCTTCTCTGCCTGCAGCCCCAAAGAGGGTCCCCAAGTAAAGTACCCCCTGCTGGAAGCCAGCATCTGGGACCTTCCATACACTCATGTAATTCTCATGATGATTTTTTTGAGCAATATCGCCTGTGTGACAATGAGGAAACTGAGGCTTAGAGAGGGAGAAGCAACTTGCCTGAGTTTACACAGCCGCTAAGTGGGGGTGAGTGTGGGATTCAGGCCCCAGCCTCTCCACCCCAGGCTGTCTCTGTATGCAGGAGGCTGTGGCGATGGGTGTAGGGGAGGGGTCAGCCACAGGAACAGCCCACCTGAAGAACACGGCCCCAGAGCCCTCTGTGTTATGCTCCCAGCTTCTGGGCTGCAGCAAGTCCTGTCCTGACTCACCAAGATGCCTCCCTCGACCGGGGATCCCGGGGGCCAGGCCTTGCAATTTTGCCCCCACCCTCTCTGCTTCCAGGAACTGACTGAGAGCTTTGCCTTCTAGGAAAAGAGAATTGCCCAAGTGGGGGCTGGTGGCTGTGAGTGTGTTCATAATGATGAAATATGTCTCCAAGCTGGTGGCTTCTTCCTAAAGTCCCTGCCCCCAGAAAAGTGGGGCCAAGCTCGGGCAGTAGATTCTTGCCCCAGATAGGAACTCTACCCCAAAGAAACTCTGCTGCCCTGAAGGTAAATTGGGAAGCAAAGGTGTGTGTGTGTGTGTGTGTGTGTGTGTGTGTGTGTGTGTGTTATATTTATTAAGCACCTATCAGAAGCCTGGAACTTTTGTCTTGTTTTGTTTTGTTTTGAGACAGGGTCTCACTGTGTTGCCCAGGCTGGAGTGCAGTGGTGCGATCTCAGCTCACTGCAGTCTCAACTCCCAGGCTTAAGCAATCCTCCTGCCTTAGCCTCCTGAGTAGCTGAGACTACAGGCGTGCATTACTATGCCTGGCTAATTTTTCTATTTAAACTTTTTAAAATTTATTTTTGAGACAGGGTCTTGCTCTGTCATCCAGGCTGGAGTGCCGTGGCACAATCGCGGCTCACCGCAGCCTCGATCACCCCAGGCTCAAGCAGTTCTTCCGTCTCAGCCTCCTGAGCAGCTGGGACTACAGGGGAGCACCACCACTCCAGGCTAATTTTTTTGTGTGTTTCGTAGAGATGGGGTTTCACCATGGTGACCAGGCTGGTCGGGAACTCTTTAGCTTAAGCTATCCACCTGTCTTGGCCTCCCAAAGTCCTGGGATTGCAGGAATGAGTCACCATGCCTGGCCTAATTTTTCTATTTGTGTCAAGATGGGTGTCTCACTATGTTGCCCAGGCTGCTCTTGAACTCGTGGGCCCAAGTGACCCACCCGCCTCGGCTTCCCAAAGTCCTGGGATGACAGGCATGAGCTGCCACGCCCACCAGCCTGGAATTGTTGAATCCATCCCCTTGTTGCGTTCTCTCAGCAGCCCTAGGAGAAGGGCACTGTTTCTCATCTCCATTCTACAGAAGCTCAGGGAGGCAAGCATCTGTGTCAAGGTCACACAGCTTGTAAAGGGCAAAGCTGGGACTTGAACATCCTTGTTCTCTGAATCCATAGACTATGCTTTCAACCCTATGCCCTGCATGGCACCTGGCAAGTATGTGGCTGGCCTTTCTGGGGGCATAGTTTTCAAGCTCCTCCTTTTTCTTGCTGTGTCCTCCCTCGCCCACCCAAGTCCGCAAGCCCAGCCTTTTGTCTCCTCAGTTAGGTCTGGTCTCTCCTGACAGCTTTACGCCTTCCTGAACCTCACTGAGTTTAAATCTGATCCTGACCTCTCACCTCTCACGTCACTTCTCTGAACCTCTGTGTCATCCTTGGTAAAATGGGGATAACTGTGAGGGTCAGATGTGTCTGGTGCAAATATCATAAAGTTTGGTTTAAGAAATTATTTTTATTTTTTAGACAGAGTTTTGCTCTTGTTTCCCAGGCTGGAGTGCAGTGGCACAATCTTGACTCACTGCAACCTCTGCCTCCCAGGTTCAAGCAATTCTCCTGCCTTAGCCTCCCGAGTAGCTGGGATTACAGGGGATTGCCACCACACCTGGCTAATTTTTGTATTTTTAGTAGAGACAGGGTTTCATGTGTTGGCCGGGCTAGTCTTGAACTCCTGACCTCAGGTGATCAGCTTACCTCGGCCTCCCAAAGTGCTGGCATTACAGGGTTGAGCTATCGCACATGGCCTCTAAGAAATTATTTTAAGATGTGGGCTGGGTGTGGTGGCTCATGCCTGTGATCTCAATGCTTTGGGAGGCCGAGGCAGTATTGTTTGAGGCCAGGAATTTGAGACAAGTCTGGACAACATAGCAAGACCTTTTCTCTACAAAGAAATTTAAAAATTAGCCAGATGTGGTGGCATGTACAGGTAGTTCCTACTACTCAGGAGGCTGAGGTGAGAGGATCACCTGAGCCCAGGAGGTTGGAGCTGCAGTGAGCTATGATTGCACTACTGCACTCCAGATGGGGTGAAAAGCAAGACTCTGTCTCTAAAATAAATAAGTAAATCAATAAATAGAAATAAATTAGTTTAAGATGTGATCAGATTTGCATGTTTGAAACCAACATAGTCCAGGTATTGGCTCACACCCTTTAATCCCAGCACTTTGGGAGGCTGAGACGGGGAGATCTCTGAGGTCAGGAGTTTGAGACCAGCCTGGCCAACATGGTGAAACACCATCTCTACAAAAAATACAAACATTAGCTAGGCATAGTGGTGTGCGCTTGTAGTCCCAGCTACTTGGGAGGCTGCGGGAGGAGAATTGCTTGAACCTGGCAAGTGGAGGTTGCAGTGAGCTGAGATTATGCCACTGCATTCTAGCCTGGGCAACAGAGTGAGACTCTGTCTTGAAAAAGAAAAGAAAAGGAAGCAACATAATTCTAGCTAACATGTGAAAGAGGTCAGTGTGAACCTGGAAGCTGAGGGGCCCGTGAGTGAGTTGGTCATTATAGTCGCCTGAGGAATGCTGGGCAACTGCTCTTTCCTCCAAACTGTGCGAATAAAGTACAAAGGAAGAGACTGGAAATTGTCCAGGTGCTATTTCTGAATGCCCACTCTGCACTAGACACGATTCTAAGGGTTGTGTGCTGCTAAAGGGTGTTAGGTCCAGGGAATGCAGGAATATCCGAATCCTGCCCCAGAACGTGGCTGTCACTCACCGTAGGATTCTCAGCACAGGATTTTGAATTCTATAAACACCAACCAGTGCCAAGGAGAGCATGAGGGGAGAGAGAGAAAACAAGAAAGCACAGGTGTTCACAATGCCAAGAAAAAAGATCAATGAGAAGGGCAAACAAGTGGCATTATCCTTTCTGGCTCCCTGGTAGGGAGGACAATGTAGAGTCTCTGAATAGACAGTGGTCCTACTCACAGGCACACTCAATGACTAAGCTCCCTGAGAGCAGGGTTGTTCTGAAAAGTTTTGAGTTTTCTCCTGGCCATGGAGAGTGTAGTTAAATGGCTCTGGGCCTTAAAGACTTACAGTACAGGTTGACTGAAAGAACTAAATCAACCAACCTTTGCTGAGAGGTTTCCATGCAAACAAAGTGCTAAGGGTCTTGCATGCATCCCCTCACTTTATCTTCATAACAGCCTATGAAGTAGGCACCGTCATCCCTGTTGTGCATTGTGCAAGTGAGGATACCACCAAAGGGAATAGGACCAAGCCAAGACATTGAGAAGGAATGAGACAAACTGAGACTCTGAGAACTGACAAGGGCTGTGGAGGGTGGAAGCCAAGATAGGAAAAACAGAGACATGTAGAGGTGTCATGGCAGTGGGCAGGGAGGGGGTAGCAGGAAGAATCAGACTCCAAGAGGCCTCAAATGTCCAATAAGCAGTTTTATCTGGGAGGTCTGTCATTTCCAAACTCTTCTGCTTGTGGACATTGTAATGGGTAGTTAATCTATTTACAAATTCTATACAGGTACTACTTTATTCTTAGGATATATTATAAATATATGCAACAATATAAATTAAGAAGGAGTGACATGAGGCTGGGCACAGTGGCCCATGCCTTTAATCCCAGAACTGTGGGAGACCAAGGTGGGCAGATCACTTGAGGCCGGGAGTTTGAGACCAGCCTGGCCAAAATGGTGAGACTCCATCTCTACTAAAAATACAAAAATTAGCTGGGCACAGTGGCTCATGCCTGTAATCCCAGCTACTTAGGAGGCTGAGACAAAAGAATCATTTGAACCTGAGAGGCGGAGGTTGCAGGGGGCTGAGATTGTGCCACTGCACAATCTTAGGTGTCAAAGCAAGATTCTACCTCAAAAAATAAATAAATAAATAAATAAAAGAGTGACATGAAAAGTTAATAGAACTAGAAGCACTAATTCTTTCTATACTCCAATGGATTGTCTTATCCACAAATAAAATGACTTAACCCAAAAGAAGAGGGAGGCAAATCAATTTCTATGGACCATCTAGAAGTTAAAGGGCATTCCTGGATGGCTTTATTCATGTTGATTAGTAATAATAATAACTGCTACGGGATGAGGGTGTTCTTCATGCCAGGCATGTCAGGGATGCTTGGGGAAGCCTAAATCCCCAGTTCCTGCTCCAGACCAGACATGCTTCCTGCTGTGGCAGTAGAGGGCGGTGGTCTAGGGTGCTCTCTAAGCCATGGGTGAAGCTGTCTTGATGTCCGTCCACCACTGTCTCCCCGCAGGTGCCATGCCTCTGAAATTCCTCCTGCTGCTGATCCTACTGGGCCCTAGCAGCAGCTTGCAGCTGTGGGACCCCTGGGCAGATGGAGCCAAGAAAGCCCTGGGCCCCCTGCTTGCCCGGGGCCGGAGACAGGCCACTGAAGATTATGACCTGTATGATGAGCTTGTGCCAGAAACAGAGGCTCCAGAAATACTGAACAACATCACCAACACCATTCTTCTGACTGGGGTTGGAACTCCTGAGCCTACCACTGTGGAGCCTGCTACAAGGCATTCTACTGGCCTGGATGCAGGAGGGGCAGTCACAGAGCTGGGCATGGAGCTGTCCAATATGGGGACCCTGTCCACGGAGCCAGCAGCCATGGAAGTACAGACCACTCAACCGGCAGTCACGGAGGTACAGACCACTCACCTGGTGGCCATGGAGGCACAGACCACTCCACTGGTGGCCACAGAGGCACAGACCACTCAACCAGCAGCCACTGAAGCACAGACCACTCAACTGGCAGCCACGGAGGCACAGACCACTCAACCGGCAGCCACGGAGGCACAGACCACTCAACCTGCAGCCACAGAGGCACAGACCACTCAACCTGCAGCCACAGAAGCACATACCACTCAACTGGCAGCCATGGAGGCACAGACCACTCAACTGGCAGCCATGGAGGCACAGACCACTCAACCTGCAGCCACAGAGGCACAGACCACTCAACCAGCAGCCATGGAGGCACAGACCACTCAACCTGGAGCCACGGAGGTACAGACCACTCCATCAGTGGGCACGGAGGCACAGACCACTCAACCAGCAGTCATGGAGGCACAGACCACTCCATCAGTGACCACAGAGGCAAAGACCACTCCATTGGTGGCCACAGAGGCACAAACCACTCCACCAGCAGCCATGCAGGCCCTGTCCACAGAACCCAATGCCAAAGAGGCCCACTCCACAGAATCTAATGCTACAGAGGCCCTGTCCACAGAACCTACTACCAAAAAGGGTCTGGTCATGCCCTTTCCTGTGTCCTCTGTTACTCACAAGGGCATCCCCATGGCAGCCAGCAATTTGTCCACCAGCCACCCAGTGGGGGCTCCAGACCACATCTCTGTGAAGCAGTGCCTCTTGGCCATCCTCATCTTGGCGATGGTGGCCACTGTCTTCCTCGTGTGCACTGTGGTGCTGGCAGTCCGCCTTTCCCGCAAGAGCCACATGTACCCTGTGCGTAATTACTCCCCCACCGAGATGGTCTGCATCTCCTCCTTGCTGCCTGATGGGGGTGAGGGCTCCCCCGCTACAGCCAATGGGGGCCTGCCCAAGGCCAAGAGCCAGGGCCTGACGCCAGAACCTGGGGAGGACCATGAGGGGGACAACCTCACCCTGCATAGCTTCCTCCCTTAGCTCCCTCTGCCATCTGTTTCGGCAAGACCCCAGCCTGCATGGTCTCTCGTCAGCCACCCTGGGTGCCCGGACCTCATTCCACTGTGCTGGGCTTCCTTGGAGACCCCTGGGGATGGGGAGCTTCAGGGAAGGAACCCTGGCCACCCAAACAGGACAAGAGCAGCCAAGGTCTTGGGGCCAAGCAGACTGGCAGGTGGCTACCTCTTTCCTCCCTCCTTGAATGAAGCCCGGTCACTTCCCAGCCATCTACAGGCCACATTTCAGCCAAGGGCTGGGGCAGGAGGCCATTTATTCAAGAGAATAAAAGGCCTTTCCTTTTTCCTATCCCCATCTTCTCTGGATCCCTCTAATGTCTCCTGTGGCTCTCTCCGCTTCTCCAGGTCACTGGAGTCTCATCCCATGTACCCAAGGAAGATCAAGTTCTCTCACCCCACCCACAGCGCCATTTTCTTCTGGTTGCCATGGTCACCAAACAGGAAGGGGACATTCTAGGGGAGGAGTACTGAGGAGTGACGGACTCCTGAGGCTGTTTCCTACTGATCCTCCGACCTGGGCAGCTGGGGTCTTCTTGGGCACTTCTCTGGGAAAACCCAGGGTGAGGCTCAGCCTGTGAGGGCTGGGATGGCTTTGGCAAGCCCGAGGGCAGACCGTTCTTTGGGACTGGGTGGACCAAGGAGCTTCCATCTAGGGACAGGTGACCCCTAGCCGTCCTCTCCCACCTCCCCCCGGGGCCACTTTCTAGGGTGGGCTCTGTCTTGTTCACTGCAGTATCCCAACTGCAGGCACAGCGCAGGCACTCAATAAATGTGTGATGGACAAACGATGGCTGAATCCTTCAAGGTATCAAGGCTGTCTCCTTCAGGCAGCCTTCCCAGAATTCTCCATCCCTCAGTGCAGGGTGGGGGTTGGTCCTCTGCTGTCTGCCCTCAGCCTCCTGTCCCCCATGGCCTCTGTCATGGGATGTTAGGCTGATTTCAGTTTTGCCTCTTGGACACTGGAGACATCTTGTACATTCTTGGGTGGCCGGGAAAAGTTCAGGCTGTGGGGTGGGGGGCAAAGGACCACTGGTGGTCCCTACCAGTGAACACTTTGGCTCCTCCCATGACCCAGTTTTGGCTACAGAATTTGGTTTTCCCCAAATCTCAGACCAATATCTCTCTAAACATCAATCTATCCTCCTGTTAAAGAAAAAAGTAACTCAATGACCCTTGTTACACATGGTAAGGAAGGCTTTGTTCCAGGTGAGGGGAACCCTCTCCATCACTGCAGGGACTGCAGGTATGGGATTTTGCAGTGGGGGCGAGTTTGGGCTCAGCTCTGAGTACAGTAGAGGGAAGTGGGACTGGTCGCCAGGAAGCAGGGGTGGAGGTCTGCCGTTGGAAAATTACCAAGAGGAAACATCGGAGGAAGGGGAATTCTGGCTAAACTGACCTAACAAGATTCTTGCTGGAGACGGGCTAGGATGCTCAGACATCACCTGGGGATGGTGGCAGATGAGGAACTTGATCAGATACGGTGTGGAAGGGGAGGGTTGTTGCTAAACTGACTTAGCAGAGTTCTTGTTAGAACTGGCTTTTATTTTATTTATTTTTTGAGTTGGAATTTCGCTCTTGTCGACCAGGCTGGAGTACAATGATTCGATCTCAACTCACTGCAACCTCCGCCTCCAGTGCTCAAGCAATTCTCCTGCCTCCGCCTCCTGAGTAGCTTGGATTACTGGCACACGCCACCACACCTGGCTAATTTTGTATTTTTAGTAGAGATGGGGTTTCTCCATGTTGGTCAGGGCGGTCTCGAACTCCCAACCTTAGGTGACCCACCCACCTCGGCCTCCCAAAGTGCTGGGATTATGGGCATGAGCCTAGAATTGGATTTTACAAGGAAGTGCACAGATGGGCTTAGGAGAGGACTCAGGCCTGACTGATTAAAGCTTGGCCAAGCACAGAATCTTTATCACTCTCCAGAAGCTCACCCTGACCTCTCCTGTTCACTCAGGCCCTGTCCCCATTAATAGCCAGTAGCTTATCGGTGAGCCTCAGTGCAGCCTGCAACCTTTTGTACAACTCAGAGAAGCACGATTTGCTGTGAAATGGTGGAAAAGGTCAAACTGACAAACTTTTTCTTAAAGGACCAGGCAGGGAATTTTGTAGGCTTTAGCTGTTGCGACACCGTAGCCTCTGTTGCAACAACTCAGCTCTGTCCTTGTAGTACAAAAGCAGCCAGTGACAGTATGTCCATAAATGAATGGGCATGGCTGTGTTCTAATAAAGCTTTATTTACAAATGGGCGGCAAGCTCATTTCAGCTCAGTCAGTTTGCCAACGCCTGATTTTAAGCATAGGATGACCAGTCATCCCGGTTTGCCCTGGACTTTCTTGGTTTTAGCATTGAAAGTCCCATATTCTGTGAAACTCAGCAAACCAGGTTGGCCCCGCTATTTAAGCAACACTTGCATTATCCCATTCAAAACCCGCACTGACCTTGTGAGGGTCAGGTCACCGCCCAATGGGTTCACCCTGTCTGCTGCCTAGACAGGGCCGATTTATCAAGACAGGAGATTTTTTTTTCTTTTTTTTTTGAGATGGAGTTTCACTCTGTTGCCCAGGCTGGAGTACAGTGGTGCAATCTTGGCTCACTGCAACCTCTGTTTCTCAGGTTCAAGCAATTCTTCTGCCTCAGCCACCCGAGTAGCTGGGATTACAGGTGCCTGCCACCACACCCTGCTCATTTTTGTATTTTTAGTAGAGATGAGGTTTCACCATACTGGCCAGGGTGGTCTCAAACTCCTGACCCTCTGATCCACCTGCCTCTGCCTCCCAAAGTCTTGGGATTACATGCATGAGCCACCACGCCCAGCTGGGAGTTTTATTATTACTCAAATCAGTCTCCCTGAGCATTCGAGCACTCGGGGATCAGAATTTTTAAAGATAATTTGGTGGGTAAGGGCTTGGGAAGTGGGGAGTGCTGATTGGTCAGGTTGGAGATGGAATCATAGGGGGTCCAAGTGAGGTTTTCTTAATGTCTTCTGGTCCCAGGTGGGATGGCAGAACTGGTTGAGTCAGATTCCCGGGATCCATCCAGTGCAGGAACTACAAACTATCTCAAGCACTGATCTTAGGTTTTACAACACCAATTTTATCCTCAGGAGAAATCTGGGGAGGTTTCGTCTCTTGGAGCCAGAGGCTGCATGACCCCTAAACCATCATTTCTAAACTCGTAGCTCATTTGTCAGTCCTGCAAAGGCAGACTGGTCCCAGGCAAGAAGGGGGTCTTTTCAGGGAAAGGGCTATTATCAATTTTGTTTCAGGGTCAAAGCATGAACTGAATTCTTTCCCAAAGTTAGTTCAGCCTAACTTTGGGAAGGAATGAACAAGGACAGGTTAGAGGTTAGAAGCAAGATGGAGTCTGTTAGGTCTGGTCTCTTTCACTGTCATCATTTCCTCAGTTGTAATTTTTGCAAAGGCAGTTTCCATCAGATTAGAATACCAAGGTTTGGAGAGGACTCTTTCTTCGACTTCTGCTTCCAAATACCTGCCAGTCATTTCCATATAGAGAGAAGGGAGTTGCCGCTTAACACAGACTCTGTTCTACCTTCTAGGAAAGGAATAAAAGTCATCTCAGGGGATAATCTTTCTTTCTTCTTCTAGAAAAATACCTCCAGCCGGCCATAGTGGTTCATGCCCATAATCCCAGCACTTTGGGAGGCTGAGGCGGGAGGATTGCTTGAGTTCAGGAGTTTGAGGCCAGCCTGGGCAACATGGTGAAACCCCGTCTCTACAAAAAGAAATACAAAAATTAGCCAGGTGCAGTGATGTGCACCTGCAGCCCCAGCTACTCATGAGGCTCAGGTGGGAGAATCGCTTGAGCCTAGGAGGTGGAGGTAGCAGTGAGCCAAGACTGCGCCATTGAACTGCAGCCTGGACAGCAGGAGTGAAACGCTGTCTAAAAACAAAAACGAAACAAAACAAAAAACAGAAAAGAAAAAGAAAAGAGAAATGCCTTCGATGGTCTCTTTGGAGGTGAAGGACATCCCCTCTTGCCCCCAAAGGTTTAGGCTGAAAGAGGAGCGTTCACAGAGAAGGCGGGGTCTGGCAGGGGTTGGCTGCGGCTGGCTCGGGAGAGGGGTTGGAGGGAAGAGGGGAGACAAGGAAAGGCAGGAAACAGCTGTCATGGGGAGGGGCCCCTGGACAGCGTCTGGAGGAGTGGGGAGAGGGCCCGCACTTGTCGGAAATGCGGTGTCCGTCCCCTCCCCAAGAACTTCTAGAACGGTCAAATCTGATACACACAGGCAGGTGTGTTCAAAGTGTCTTGGGATGCTGATGGAAGAGGTGGGAATGTCTGCCGTTCGATGGAGCAGGCGACACCCGGGATGGCAGTTTGACGGGTCGGGAGAGACTGAGTCTACCTACCCTTTGGGAGGGATCAGAAAAATCAGAGAAGGGGAGCTGAAGGTTTCACAGCTGGGAGCTGTGGACTCAGGCTGAAGCACGTGAGGGCCTCTGAGTGGCTTCCCAGGGGATCTTGTCACCCCGTCTTTCTGGGGCCTTTCCTCTAGTCCCTGACAGCTGCTGAGGATGCTGTGTGACCACACCTTTCCAGCTCTGTTGGAAGAGGGCTACCTTCCCTTCACAGTCTTCTCTCTCTCCAAGGTGTGGGATTTCATTCAGGGTGGGCGGTACCGGGTGCTCAAAGCGGCCACCAGGGGGCGCCCGCCGCCAGCTCTTAGAGTAGGTGGAAGCCTGCGATTCCCTCGGTGCTGACTTGGAGATCATCTAGTCAGAAAGGAGCCCCAAACCCAGCGGCGTGCTGGTAAGTTCTTAACAACTGGCCTCTGATCGGAAAAAGCCCTGATCTGTAGCGTTTGCTAATGTCCTCCATGTAAATACTCCCGCGGCTGATTTTGAGCTACCAACCATTAATGACATAGGTGATGATACAACAGATGTTAGTAACAAGAGCAATGATTATCGAATAACGCAGTAAAAGTAGTAGGAATTGGTGAGTTTTGAGTACTGATGACCTTGGCTTTTAATAAAATAGAATTTATTAAACAAATGACACAAAGTTCTGAAAATGTTATTGATTAGCTCTCACCGGCAGATGCAGTCTGGCTCCTGCACACCCGGGCCCTTCCCTCCTGCCTGGGCCTCCCATGCCCTTGAACTTCGCCAGCCTGGATCACCCCACTCACTCATTCAGCAAACACATCCCGAACACACACCAGGCTGCAGTATCCCCGTGAACCCCCTCAAACAGCTTTCACAGGAGGTCCTAGTATTCTCCCCATTTTACAGATGATGAAACTGAGGCTGAGAGCTAGGTGGAGTCACCTGCTTCAGGTCACACGAGAGGATCATGAGATCGGAGCCCAGACCTGAAAGCCAGGATCTTAGCTCTGTGTCACGCTGTCCTTGAGATCACAGCGGGCTTCTGGGGGAATCCCACACCCCAAACCTCAGCCCTGCTGACCTGCCCTGGAGCCTGGAAGTCCCCCATTCGTCACCCTTTGTGGCTCCTGGCTGCTGAGGGAAGGCACTGCTATTTGGGAGGGTAACTGAGTACAGCACAGCCCTCTCCTTGCAGAGGATGCAACACAGCAGAGCTGGGGCCCAGGACGAACAGGGATGGCGGGGGGCAAGCACTGGACTTTACTGGGCACCTACTGCATACCTAGAACCTTGCCAAACAGTTCGTCTGCATGATCTCATTTAGGATTCACGACAACCCTAAAATGGGGGTGCCATGATTGCTCCATTTTCTTGCCAGGGAAACTGAGGTTCAGGAAGCTGAGCCACGTGCTGCAACAGGCTGCATGGTTAGAAAACCACACTGTGCTGACTTCAGCTCTGCCAGCATGGAAGGAAGGAGGGCAGACAGGAAATGGGGGGTGGGGGATGGCGGGCTCAGTTTGTTCCAGGTCCCTTGTCTCTTTGCAGGCTGGGGCTGCCACCCCTGGGGGTGGTTCATCCAGCAGCTGATCTGGCAGGGGCTCCCCAAATTCTTCCCCCAGATCCCATCCCTCTTTGCCACTCAACCAAGCCACAGATTGCTATGGATGTGCCAGGCACTGTGAGAGGCCCTGTGATGCCACATGAGCAGGACAGGCCTGGTGGCACCCTGTGGGGCTTGTGGTCTAGAGGGGGACAGATTAATCAAATGCTCACCCAGGAAAAGATCAGATCATGGTTGAGCCTGAGCCCAGAGGAGAGATGCTGAGAGCAATGGGGCCAGACCTCGGGGAGGGGGCGTGGGTCAGGAAAATGATGGTTGGAACTTGAAGGATGCAGACTTGTTGACTTGGGAGGGAAGAGATAAAGGGAAGAAACAGCATGGACACAGGAGTTTTCACCAGGGGAATGGACAAGGTGGAGGCAGCTGGAAGGAGCCAGGATGGCTGCAGGGAGGAGAAAGAGGCTGTGTGAGGATGAGGGGAGTCTGAGGTAGAGCAGGGTGCAAGGAAAGTGTGGAATCTGGAGATAATTGGGAAGAAGGAAGGGTAGGAGTTACTGATGGGTTGGAAGTGAGGAAGAAGGAGGCTGAAATCTCAGGTTTCTGACTTGGGCAGCTTTCCTGATGGGGGCACCGTGGGATGGCTGGGAAAGCCATGGAAGGAGGAGGTTGTGGGGCTGGTGGAGAGAGAAGTGTCCTGAGCTGGGGTTCAGCCAAGTCAAGTCTCAGGGCCTGCTCAACCTCCAGGTGGAGGTTCCAGGAAAGCTGTTGCAAAAGATGCTTGAGGTCATTAGCCATCAGGGAAATGCAAATTAAAGCCACAGTCAGATGCCACTTCACACCCTCCACCAGAACTAGAATTAGAAAGATGGATAACACCCAGTGCTGGTGAGGATGTGGAGAAGCTAAAACACTCACATGTTGCTGGTGGGAATGCAGAATGATTCAGCCACTTTGGAAATCAGTTGGGCAGTTTCTTGTAAAGTTAAACAAGTACTCACCATCCAAGCCAGAAATCAATTCCTAGATATTTCCCCAAGAGAATGAAGACAGATGTTCATACCAGAGTGGTACAAATGTGTACAGCAGTTTTGTTTATAAGATCCCCAAACTGGAAACAACTCAGATGTCCGTCAGCTGGTGAATGGATAAAGGTGTCCTGGGCATGCTGATGGAAGAGGGTGGGAATGTCTGCTGGGGGCTGGGGCAAGACACGGATTGCAAGGAAATCCATGCAAAGAAAATTACTCTGAATAAACAGGAGTGATGCATTGATATGCACACCAACATGGACGAATCTTGAAGATGCCATGCTGAACGAAAGAAGCTAGACAC